GCAGCGCTGAGGGACTTCAGAGCGCTCGCGCGTGCGTGCGAGGGTTCCGGACGATGGGCGCGTGGGAGGCATGGCGATGGCGGCCCGGTGTAGAAGGCAAGCGGAGAAAGAGAGGCCGAGCGAGCGGGGAGGGTGAGCAGGAGTTGGGGCGCCTCCTCCTCGGCAGCAGAAAAAGAGAGGGAGGGGGAAGCAGCGTGAGGGCTCGGCCTCCATGTGAGCGCGTACGTAGGGATAGTGCGGCATGAGCTACGGCAGGGGTAGGTGAAATGAGCGGCAGTTGCAGCTCGGCGTCACCTTGGTCACGGCCACGAGGAACGCGTGGTTCAGCAGTAGTGACACCACAGTAGGGCAGCGGGCGCAAGCAGGGCAGCCTGGGCGCCACTTTGCGCACACAGACGTAGCAAGGACAGGGCAAGGCCAGGCAGCGACGCATCCCATCGTCACTACGACCGGGGCCACGACTATGTGCAGCGCCATTCAAGATGATGTGACGGCGCTGGCCAAAGCAGGCAGCAGCGGCAGCGGTGCATCAGGCCTCGGCTGACCGCAGCAGCAATGCGATGGACGGAGCAGTGCAGTGCGTGGCCAGCGCAGTACATAGCGGCAGCAGCACAAGTGACAGCGACCATGCGTATTGATGGCACTCGGCTCACGGGCACGGCGAGGAGACGGACGCGGTAGCAGCAGCGGGACAGCCTACCGAGAAGCGGCGTCGACAGCGTGGCCGCAGAGGCAAGGCTAGCAACGAGGCCAGCGCACAGCAAGGCAGCGACGAGGCTAGGCGTGCACACAGGCATCCATGAGTGTGTTGTGTGCATGTGTTTTGCCATTTTCTTTCTTTTTGTTTTACCAAAATATATAAATAATTATGTAATTACAAATATATCATTATTTCTTTATCACTAATATCCATACACACATGCATATATTTATTGTATGTTTATCTATAGAGATACACTCGAGAAAAATAAGTTTGTACACTACTTTAATTGATATAGCAACATGCTTATCAAAACAAAATACGTGAGTGTATATATACCTATTTATATATCTCTATCGGTTTGCTAATTTGGACAATTAGCAACATCTAAGCGCGAATTTAAATTAGATTGAAAAGCTATATATATATATCGTTCTATTTAACAATATATTTTATTTCATTCTATTTTTGAGTTCTCTTCTACTCTAATCTTGCTCTAATTTATTATTAACAAGTTAATAATTACATGTTTAGTGCTAAAGGGCTCATGTAACACTGGAGGTGTTACAGAATGTGTCATTCCTCAGAACATTTGGCTGCGTTGGCCATGTGAAGAACACCAAACCTCACCTCGGCAAGCTGGAAGACAGGAGCACGCCAATGGTGCTCCTGGGCTACGATGAGGGTAGCAAGGCCTCTCGGCTTTATGATCCCAAGAGAGGCAGTGTGGTGATCTCTAGGGATGTAGTGTTCGATGAAAAGGTGGCCTCGGACTGGAACAGTCCGGGCATGGGGGAAGCTGGCGGCTTCACCAGCACTTTCGTCGTCGAGCACTTGGTCATCCACGGTGGTAGAGACGCTGGAGAGGAAGTGCCGAGCACTCCAGGAACAGAGCCGAGCACTCCTAGGGCGGTGCCGAGCACTCCAGGAGTGGTGCCAAGCGGTCCTACAGTGGTGCCAATCACTCTAGGATGGGTGCCGAACGCTCCCGTAGCGGAGCTGAGAGGTCTTGCAGTGGTGCCGACCACTCCAAGACTAGTGCTGAGCACTCCTGCAGTGGTGCCGACCACTCTAGGAGTGGTGACGAGAGATCTAGGAGTTGTGCTGAGCACTGCAGCGGGGGTGCCGAGCACTCCAGGTGCTGTGCCAACCACTCCGGTGGAACAGGGAACTCCATCGACGCCAATCGAGTTTTCCTCACCTCCAAGCGACATTACTGAGTTCATGGATGCCTTCCACGATGGTGAGGAGGTGCGGTTCTGCAGACCAGACGACATCATCGGTGGCACAGGGCCCTCAGGCTTGGCGGGTCGGCTGCTCAATGACCCAGAGCTGCTTCTCGTCAGTGCAGAGGAGCCACCCCTATTGCTGGCTTTGGCAGCAGTGAAGAATTGGCGCGTCCATCACCTGGACGTAAAATCGGCCTTCCTCAACGGCGAGCTAGCGAAGACGGTCTTCGTGAGACAACCTCTAGATTTCATCATCAAGGGAGCGGAGCACACGGTGCTCCGACTGCGCAAGGCGCTCTACGGGCTGCGGCAGACCCCATGAGCGTGGAACGCCAAGCTTGACTCGACGCTGGGTGAGCTTGGGATCACACGGTGCACAACCGAGCACGCGCTCTACACGAGGCGACAGGGGGAAGGAGGAGCTCGTCGGCGGCATCTATGTGGACGACTGATCATCACCGACGCGCGTGCAGAGGACATCGACAGCTTCAACGCGAGATGGCGGCTCGTTTTCAAATGAGCGATCTCGGCGCGCTCTCCTACTATCTCGGCATCAAGGTGAGACAGGGGAAGGAGGCGCTCACGCTCGGTCAGAGCGCGTATGCCTCGAAGCTGTTAGAGCGGAGCAGCATGGCTAAGTGCAAGCCGTGCGTGACTCCGATGGAGGAGCGACTGAAGCTGTCGAAGGCCAGTACCGTGGCAAAGGTAGATACAACACTCTATCAGAACATCGTCGGCGGTCTGCGCTACCTAGTCCACATGAGGCTAGACATTGCGTTCATCGTGGGCTACGTCAGCCGCTTCATAGAGGATCCCTGAGAGGATCACTAGGCTGCGATGAAGCGACTGCTGCGCTACACCAAGGGAACGGTGGATCAGGGGATCGTCTTCCCCATGACCAGCAGAAGTAGGCTGCAGTTCACTATGTTCAGCGATACAGACTTGGTGGGGGACATCGACGGACAGCGGAGCACCTCTGGCGTGCTCGTTTTCCTTGGGTCGGCTCCAATCTCATGGTTGTCGCTAAAACAGAAGGTGGTGGCGCTGTCCACGTGCGAGGCAGAGTACGTGGCAACGGCCATAGTGGCGTGCCAAGCTGTGTGGCTACGCCGGCTGCTGGGCGAGCTGACCAGTGTGGAAGCTCACCCACCAGCACCGATGGTGGACAACCAGCCCACCATCGCCCTCGTGAAGAATCCGGTTCTCTATGACTGGAGCAAGCACGTCAACGTCAAGTTCCACTTCCTCAGGGACTATATTGATAGAAGGCTAATCGTTGAAACTGGTCAGCAACTCACGGACGTCCTCACCAAGCCGCTCGGGCGTCTTCGGTTCATGGAGCTGAAGAAGATGATCGGCATGGAGGGGGTTCTAGGGTTAGCAGCAGGATTAGAGGAAGAATTGTTATGTAATCTGCTGCTCCCCTATGTGAACGCGCGGCAGGGGTAGGCGCCGAAAGGGCTTCCTGCTGCTGCACTGTAGCCGCTGCAAGGGCAAGCGCCGAAAGGCTCCCCTACCGCACTGTAGCCACAGCAGGGGCAGACGTCAAAGTCAGCCATGCTGTCACATCTAGTCACGGTAACAGTATGACAGCCTAACATGTCTGTGTATTAGGATTAGATAGGTAGAGTTGTATATATAGTTTTTCACTGCAACTCAGTAAAGAGAGCGAGTTCAGTTTTGCCATCTCCTCTGCAGAGCTCCGGCCAACGCTGGTGCTTGTAATGTGTGTGTGCGCGCGCGCTCTGTTCTTTCTCCCTTCTTCTACCTCTAACCATAATGTGTGGTCGGCAACGCTGGTGAGTGGTCGGCTCACCCGTGCCAACGATCCAGGGGCCGACACACATTACCTCTCTTAATGCCGACGGTCGCGCGGACCATGCAGATCCTGTAAGGGATGCCGACAAATATCCCCGTGGCCAGAAAATATCAGCATTCGAACCGCCTTAGCCTTATTGCAGTGACGCTGCATCGTCTTCCTGGCGCCCTCCCCGTGATTTCCGCTGATAGCTCTGGCACGCAAGCTCTCCAGTGCTCCGCGTGGACGCTGCAGTTCATGTCGGCAAAAATCTCCGGCTGCCCAAAATATCTACACTACCACCGCCTTGCACCTATAAAAGGCCGGCGAGGCCGCCACGGACACATGAAGCTTGAGAACAAGCTCTACTTCTCTTCGGCAGCTTGCTCCAGCGCAGCCCTTGCCACCGCCGTGCGCGGACCCGGCCCTCGCCTATGAAGCTCCAAGCTCGAGCTCGCACACACACGGCACGGACCTGCCGAAGGCAAGCGCCGCCGCGCCGCAGGACGCCGGAGCCGCGCTTGCCGAAGCTGCCCTCGCCCAGCCCGCTGGACCACCATCCGCGCCGCCGCGACTAGATCTGCCGAGCGTCACTAGGAGCGCCGCTGACGCAGCAACCAACACTACTACAGAATCGTTTTTAGGGGCGGCTCGTAACCCTTTGTAGGAGCGATTTTATTAGCCGCCCCTACGAAAGGGTGGCTACAAATCACTGATTTGTAGGGGCAGCTAGTACAGTAGCCGCCCCTACAAATCGATTTGTAGGGGCGGCTGGTCCCCTACAAAATCGATTTGTAGGGGCGGCTACAGTACCAGCCGCCCCTATAATACCTATTTGTAGGGGCGGCTACAGTACCAACCGCCCCTACAGTATATTTTTCCATCAAAAAAAATTCAAATTACCAACACGTGCTCCCTAAATCATCATGTGACGAGTAAAATATATGATAATATCCTGGCAAACTTGACTATAATATTGTGGCCCAAACAAGATTGTTTAGTCAAAAGTTTCTAAACATCTTCTATAGTACAAGAATCACAATAATAACAAACAGACTCATATTATGACAACAAAACATATATCTATATCACAAAAAGACCAAGCAAGCACTCAAGTGCTAACAAAACAAAAAATAGAGGTAGTATGTGTAGTACAAATAGATATGTCTAACATGTAATATTGTGGCCCGGAGATGCAGCAAGTGCAAGTCGGCTTTGAAGGATATCGCACGGCTGAGCTCCGCTATTGCATCGTTCTCCTTGTGGCTATCCATCAGCACTGTGCAAATCAAAACCAAAACAATGTTTTAACCAGATTTATATGCTGTGCAGAGCAATACATGAAAGACATGAAAAAGATGTATCATTGTCTAACACGTTATTTAAAAGTACTACTTGATTCTCGGCTGCTGCACTAGTCAAAGTGGTGCAGGGTTCAAAACTTGTGACCAATTTATGTTAAGAAGAGGAATTCTGCAAAGTGATACAATCCAAGAAAAAGGACAAGTGTTTGCAGCGATAGTCCAATGAACTTCATGTTGAACAATAAAGAGAAGGTAATCACCACCAGGGCAAACAGAGTAAAAAATGAGTAATTAAGTGTACTGTGCTTAAAACAAAGTGACTGTGCCCCTCATACTTTCACCTATACCCCTGTGCAGCTCAGCCCATAGTCCCATGGTCCAAGCACCCCCGAGAAACTAGTGACTGTGCTTAGTGCATTTACAAAGTTGAATCAAATTCACAATTTGACTGCAACCTTTCCTTCTATATAGAGTTATAGACCAACTACTGTCAATTATGTATGTTCTTTTGCAGAAAATATATACAGTGCCATTACACAAACAACTCTAAAGGGAGTGGAAGAGTTCTCAATGTTTTGCAGTAGCATGGCAACACAACTCTGAAACTCAAAATAGTTATGCCAACACATGTAGATCTACCAAAAAAAAGTATTGTAGGAAAAATAGTACTCACTGTTATTGCGTTCTCAACCAAGTGGAAGACAGGGCCTTGCATACCAACAAGTTCATCAAAAGGAACGTCCTCTGCACCATCTGCGTCATCCAGACCATCAAGCATCTGCTCAACCTGAGAGAACAAAGGCAAGCCGAAGGATGAATTGAAACACATGGCATGCTTTCATTCCAACACCAACTATCAGTTCCTGGAAGGAGCATTCTCAGCGTACACGGGTGAGAAGGAGAATGCGTGTTTACAGACCTGCAGTGCACATATGCATAAATCAGAAATTATCTAGAGAAAATGGGGTGAAGCTGAAGACAAACAAGACACACACATCATCATCGTCATGAGTATATTTTTTCCTTTGCAATACAAGACATTACTACCCAGCCGTAGAGTTGTGCTTGGAACCACCAACTAAAACTTGTTCACTTATTTGCCCTAGACTAACAAAATGAATTATTCAAGAGGAGGTTCGTTCTAATTATTCCAATCCTAGAATCACATGTCAATACCAAGTCAATAGTCTCACTGCTAAGAAGCACAAGCAGACGCTGCAGGTTAACAGAATTATTTTTTTGATGAAACTGGAGGGGGTTAACAGAATTATTATGCCTCTGAAAATACTCTGAACCCACAACAGCAGCGGAGCATTATGAAAATACCTTTGCTAGCTGAATAATCATCAAAACCATCCAATTGTCCTGATTCTCAACCCTAATCCCCTAATTCTAGCAACTGAAAAGACATAAATAATAGCCCTATCCATTATGAACACCTATTAACATAGTTTTGACCCAATCTACAAGTCATAACAAAGAAACAGCACCCATAACGCCAGCTCAACGTTCAATCGATCGATTCCACCACGCAATCGAACTAATCAATCCCTAAAGCAACGACCCAGCGGCGTCCCCATCCGCGGGGTGAGGGCAGGGGTGGGGGCGGTTTTATTACCTCGCACTGGCGCGAGTTGCTATGGTCGAGCCACTGGAGGAGGCAGTGCTGGTGCACGAACTTGATGCTGCCGCTGCAGGCGCACGGGTAGCGTAGCGGGTGGTCCTCATCGCCGCGGTTGCGGCAAATCCGGCACACGTCCCCCTCCTCCTCCTCCTCACCTTGCGGCGGCCGCGGCTCCTTCGGCAGCTCGCCCGCGACGGCCCTCTCGGCAATCTCCGCCATGGCTGCTGCCTCCCTGGGTGGTCGGTGCCTCAGCCTTAGCTGTCCTGCACTGCGCAAATGGGAAGATGGAGGGAGAGAGGATCTAGGTGAGGAGCCATGGGACGGAGGACGGATCTAGGTGACGAGCCATGAGATAGAGAAGAAGAGGGTGAGGTACCTCCAGATCTGGCCCTCAATCCACCACTGGGGACGCCACCACCCAAGATCTGCCGCTTGGAGGATGGGCTCACCCTGGATCTGCCGTCGGGGAGCGCGCCCGCCCTGGATCCACCGCCGGGGGGCGCGGCCGACCAAGATCCGTTGCCGGGGGGCGCCACGCGTGCCGCCGCCACCGGTACGGGCCGTCACGTGCGCTGCCGTCGAGGGTGGTGGCCGCCCCGCACGCCGCCACCACCGGATGGGGCCGTCCTGTGCGCCGCCGCCAGTTGGGGCCGTCCTATGCGCCGTCGCCACGGAGGGAAGGTGGGCAAGCGCCACCGCCCCGAGCGCCACCACCGTGGCACCGAGAGAGGGAGAGAGGTAGGAATCAGAGGGAGAGAGAGAGAGAGAGGTGGGCGAGTGAGGGAGAGAGAGAGAGTTCACCGTCGGGTGAGAGAGAGAGAGAACGAGAATGAAACCTTAGGGTTTGGGAAGTCCGACGGGTGGTTTTGTTCCTGGTGGGACGAACTTCGGCCATTGGATTTAGATCAAGGGCTTAGATCATCGACAGCCTTAATAGGCCTGCGGGAAAGTGAGGCCCAAGTCCAAGTTTGGAGCCTGCAGGTTTCGACGGCGGCATTTGTAGGGGCGGCTGGTGATTGAGCCGCCCCTACAAATCGTAACACTGGGGCAGTTGGTGAGTGAGCCGCCCCTACAAATCCCACCCATTTGTAGGGACAGCTCGTATCACCAGCCGCCCCTACTGTTCTATTTGTAGGGACGGCTGGTTTCGTGGTTCCCGAGCACTGCACTGTAGGGGCGGCTTCATTACTAGCTGTCCCTACAAAAAAATTTGTCCTGTTGCTACGGACCGTTTTTCACGTAGTGCAAGCACCGCCGTCGTGCTACTCTGTTTTCCGCTCAGTCCCTGCTCTGCCCTGCTCCCTCTATTCCCCTTGCTGCTACACACGGACAACAGGTGCCATCCTTGACTGGCGTTGCCCGGCGACGGCACCTCACGCCGCTAAGAAGCCCATGCCGCCGGAGGAACACCGCCTCCGTTGCCGCGGACTGCGCCAATCGGATGTCACCACGGTGGGACCCGGTTGCAAGAAACATAACCTGGCATACGTGAACCACCCATAGGAAGGCGAGTTCGCTGCACAAATGAACGAGCGGGTTCACGGAACAGTGCCATACAAAGCCACGATCGACTGGGAGAAGTGCACCCCATCTGTACAATGTATCTCTATCTCTACAACTAAAACATACGGATTGTCAATGTCTATCTGGCAGGACCAAAACACTCATGCGATCCAATAATCACCGCATCTCATGCGATCCATATCCGGCAGGCTAATAATTACCGCATCTCATACGATCCATATCCGGCAGGCAAATCATCACCGCATGGAAACACCGGAAGGCAAGTAAATAAAATGTAATAAAACTCACGGAATCACCGGCAGGCAAATAATCACCGCATGGAGACACTAGAAGGCAAGTAAATAAAATAGAATAAAACGAAAAGAGAATTATGGGAAGAGAAATGAATTTATTGGAATATCACAACGCAATGATCATGATCGTGATCCAAATCTCGTTCGTCGTCCTGCGTGTTGCGTGTTGACAACAAATACTTTTTTTCCCGAAAAAAATAAATTATTGCCATGTCTCATGCGGGCTAGGATATTATAAGTCCGAGTATACATGTTTTGGCAAGGCAGAGCATTGATAAATTCAATTCGATGCCTAACAATAAATTTTCAGCCTTTGAGGCAACTGATGTTTGTCATAACTTTTAGACAATAAGCTCCAAGCCTAGCTTTTATTTCAGATTCATTACGATAATGAATGTGTTTCTAGACATTATCATGGTATAATACACGTGAAAAATTGAATTGATATATTCTTGATTTTGACTTGGCTAACAAACGTCCCATTCAATTTATGTTGCACCCGTTGCAACGCACGGACACTCATCTAGTACAACTAAAACAAACAGATTGTCAACATCTACCCAGGAGGACCAAAACACTCATGCGATACATATCCGGCAGGCAAATAATTACCGCATGGAGACACTGCAAGGCAAGTAAATAAAATGAAATAAAACTCATGGAATCACTGGCAGGCAAATAATCGCTGCATGGATACACTGGAAGACAAGTAAATAAAATGGAATAAAACGGAAAGAGAATTATGGGAAGAGAAATGAATTTATTGGAATATCACTAAGTAATGATCATGATCGTGATCCAAATCTCGTTCGTCGTCCTTCGCGTTGCGTGTTGACAACAAATACTTTTTTCCCCAAAAAATGAAATGTTGACATGCCTCATGCGGGCTAGGATATTGTAAGTTCGAGTATACATATTTTGGGTAAGGCAGAGTATGGATAAATTCAATTCGATGTCTAGTAATAAATTTTCAACCTTTGAGGTAATTGATGTTTGTCGTAACTTGCAGACAACAAGCTCCAAGCCTAGCTTTTATTTCAGATTCATTACGATAATGAATGTGTTTTTAAGACATTATCATGGTATAATACACGTGAAAAATTAAATTGATATATTCTTGATTTTGTCTTGGCTAACAAACATCTAATTCAATTTATTTTGCACCCATTTGCAACGCACGGGCACTCATCTAGTGAAGAGAAAATATTACGTGCACCCGGAAGAAGCACGCACAAGCTGAGTAAGCCCCTTTTCCTTGCACATAAAAATTTCCCAGAAAATATCTATAAATATTAGAGCCACTCCAGAGCCTACCCAGACCCTTTCCATGCCTTCACCTTCTAAAATATATTGCAGTAATTTCCAATCCAGTCTAACTCCGAATCATTTGATTCTTCCTCAAAAAATCTTCTAAAATAAAACCCTACACGCCCATATCCTTTTTCATAATTTTTTGGTGCCCATTTAAATTCTAGTTTGTTTGCTTTATGTTTTTTTATTTAAAAATATATTAACGCTAACCCGTAGTTGCACTGACCTGTTAATTCCCTTTAGCACCGTATATCCGCGTAAGCATGTACACTATGACACGTACATGAATGCTCGAGTATACGCACACACGTCCTCCACATAGAATAATAGACTTGCACACACGTACATAGGCATATGCTTGGTAAGTATATATATACACGCACATATGTGTACTAAGCGTCATGCCTATGTATGGCTAACTCTCGCACCCACCTTTTCTGTATCTGTATATAAATATATATGCACGTACTTAACTATCTAAGCCCCTCTCATGTATGATAACACGTATACAAGAACCCACCTAGTTAACCTCGCCAAGCCCTTGTGGACCTATATAGAAGCCAGTCAAGTCATACCTGGTCATGTTTTCCCTTTCATGTTCACATAATAGCGAAAGATAATAATGTGGTCTGGTTTTCGCTAGATAACCCTACCATTCCAACCAACCCGTAGGAGCCACACCTTGTTGGATGGATTTCCTTCCATTCAACCTTACTTCAAATTGACATAATAATGATAGTCTTAGATTTAAGTCCACTAACCAGTCAGGACCAACCTATCTCGGACCGTTCTCTTTATTTGATTGATTATGCTTGTTTTGCTTTCCTTGCTTGTCGGCACTAGACATCATAGGATAGAAGCCGCGAAGAGAACCTGATGGAATATGGAAGCGCAGTTACGCGGAGACAGAGAAGCTAAAAGCACAAGAATCAAAATATGAGAATAAGGATATTATCGCCAGCGAGTGGAGGTAAGTCCTAACACCCACCTACCCCTATCCCTCCATCTTAATTACCACTCCCCTAACCACTCCCTTTCCACCACCACCACAGTTTGCTAGCCTCAACCAAAAAATCCTCCACCCTCCACCCTCCATCTCCACCAATTAATAAACTTAACTTATAATACTTAAATCCTCATTGTAAATTAATGGAATTATAATGAATTATGAGCTTGACTATGATAATGTGATTAATGGTGAACATGATAAATGATTCTCTTGATCTGAGATGAGCTTAATGAACTTGAGGATAATAATTATAGACTCTAAAACTGGTAAAACTGGACTAAACCCCCGACACGGGGCGAGTGAGGGGTAATTTGTGTGGTACAAGTTACCTTGGCTGGTTCGCCTAGTGAGGGTTCCTGTTGTGAGATACTCGCCTTGGTCACATAAGGACCGGTTCGTAGTCCCTCTCACCCAGTGTCGGTGTTTTTGGAGCACCGACGAGTAAATTTGTATTTGCACGTCTGGCTCGGATGGTGTGCTCGGAGGATAAAGGGTTTATACTAGTTCGAGCGGAACGTCCCTATGTCCAGTTCGCTGCTGCTCGTGTTACCGGCACTTGGTTTGTAGTAGGGGTTACAAACAGGCAAGAGAGGAAGAGGATCCCAAGTCTCTAGTGGAAGGAGTGAACGGGTGTTGAGAGCTCGCTTGCCGCTCAGCCGTGTGCTCGTGTCATGCTCTTGTGTTTAGATCCCCCCTCCATGGGGTGCCCTACTTCCCCTTTTATAGACAAAGGGAAAGCGCGGGTTACAGAGGAAGAAAAGTAGAAGAACGAGAGAGAGAAGAAGGCTTCTAGGGTTACTGGGTCCTTCTTCTCCTTCATGCGGGTTCCGCTGATCCTGTAGATGTCAACAGGGACAGCTCCATGTCATGGCCTTGTTCGTCACTGGCGCTATGCGTAGGCGTCATCTATCGGTCATAGCGTTCCACTCCGTCCTGGCGGACGTCGTGGTGAACCGACATGCCTGTCAGCGTCCGTACAAGGATTAGGTAGAACAGCACCGGCACGCCCGACACTGTTCTTCATGTGAATCCCCAGGTATGGCCTATCATGGCCATGGGTTACATTGAGGCATGCTAGTCTC